CACTTTTCTTGATGTATTTAGTACTGAATTTGCAAACATAGTACCATCAGCCTTATCTCGGCAATTTTGAACATAAAGATTATTGCTAAGTAGAACTGAAATAATCCTGTACCTACAATGAATTCGTAACTCGCACATTTACATTCTTAAATAGACAAGCCCGACTTGTGAAGCAGAAAGTCGGCTGGGAGCCTCAATGGTGTGTAACCGGTGGACACATTGCTCTGGAATAAGGCACATGAAGAGTAGAGTGGAAAGCTGAGAGGGGATGGAGAACCCTTCTGCGAGACAGACACCCCTGCTTACGGGTGTGTTGCCCAAATCCGTGGGGTTTCCACAAAAGCCAACAAAGGAGACCGAGTCCCATATCTAAAAGCAAAGAGCTTTTATTTTAATCAAGTTTGCAAACTTGGTCTCTCTGCATGTCCAACGTATTGGAATCAACAGAGAGCCCCAATCTCAATTAGAATAGGGTTTTTATAGTAGTAGAGGTGGGGGTGAGGGCTCTCTGAGGTTCAGGACCCCTGATTGGCTGAGATCTGTCTAGGGGTGTCCTGGTGAGTGTGTGCTGGCAGGTGATCTATCTGCAGTGGTTAGAATGTCAGGCATTTCCTTTGAATGGTCTGCTCTTGGGTAGGAGTCGGGTAATCTCAGCGTGTGTGGTGTTTTCCTGCTACCAGGTATTGCTTCAGGGTAAACTACTGAGGCTCAGGCCTCTTAAAGTTTATTGATGGCCAGAGTCCCAGGTGATAATGGTTGGAAGTAAAGACTTTTCTTTGGGTGACCTACCCAGACTTAGATTATCATGGCTGGGCCCCACAACAGGCAGTCCCAGAATGAGATCCTACAGGGCAGTGCTCTGGGATCAGGGTCACCTTTGTGGCCCTTCCTACTTACGTGGATGCCAGCAGGAGAGAATCTGCTTTTCTCTTACCAGTCAGACACACATTTCACAGTGGGCATGGCTGCGTCTGAGGACGTCGTGTTCCCAAACTGCGGCATGAACAGTGACATTTACATGCGTGCCTTTGTTGATAGTTAACCCCGATTCCCCAATATCCAGCCCCATTTAAAATATGAAGCTTCGGGAAGGAGGCCAAGGAGTGGGGATCGGGTGTCTGTTATCTGAAGACATAACAATCAAACAAGCATTGTTCCACCCAAAATGATATGTGAAATGAAGCAGGAAAACCTTTCTTATGATTCATTCCTTAAATGCTCACAACATCATAGGCTGTATAAATAAATGTCAAACTACACGGTACTGAATTTGGTTGTGGAATTGGCTCAGCCAAATCCTGCCCGCACTGTAGCCCACCTACACTGCCCACTAACTGTAGATTACCCCCTGGCTTCCAGATAGTCCAGTCCTACATAACACTGGGCTATCCTAGCTGGGTTCTGTCTGTATTCTGCTTGGTCCTCTTCGGCCACAGTCCCACTGCCTTCTGGTAGCAGGAAAGGGTCAGCTTCAGGGATGCTTCCTCTGTACCTGCTGACTGAGCCTGCGCTCTTGAGAACAGGGAACTAGGGACAAAGCAAGGGCCACTGGACACCCTCAGAACCAGTTCTGCTACATTCCAGCCCTCAATCAGACACCTTTCTAAAGCACTTTATACCTTGTTTTTGTTGTACCAATTCCTTTACATGGCTGTTCTTCAAAACGTTTAAATACTCCAGAATGAGGAAAACCAAAGACTAGGGGCTGAAAGTGAAGGCCGTCCACTTAGCGTCTTTGCCTTCATTAAATTCAAAGCTGCCGTGAAGTGGTTTCCTCCCATCCAGCAGCCTCTGTCCTCTGTGCTTGCCACCCAGTTAATGGGTGGATGGATTGTATCTCTGCTGCGTTTCACTGGTCCCTTCATGACCATTTGGTAGCTGGTTTGGTTTCAGATTTATGTTTATTTCTCCTGGTATACACAATTTCTTAGCAAGATTACTGACTAAAGTCAACCAGAGGCAAACCCGTGTGGCTGGGTTCGTGTGGGGTGACATTAATATTCTGTATGTTCATGTGTAGGAAATAGCATATAATGAGGAAGCATAGGTCTTACACTTCAACTTCATGGAAACAAATACTATCACTGTTTTGGTTTGTGAAAGATGTCAAGCATCACACAACACAATACAGGACTTTCTTCCATACGGCTCCTAGTGCCAAAATCTATGTTTATTTTCATGGCTACATATTCAAGAAATGAATTGCTTTCGCCATATCAGGGCACGCCCAGTCTTTCTTTTGCACAGGAATCGCGCTCCCGGCTAGAGTCACTCTGAGGACTGAGTAAAGCTATTCCTTCTCGTTGTTTTGACTCTTTTCACAATAGGCTCCTGTCCCAGCAACTGACTCAATGACGTGGAAAACCACAAATCCACACTGATTGATAACGAAGGCTTTAGAAAGGGGCTCACCCCAGCAGAGCCTGTGTTCTTTCGCTCTAGTGTGGATCTCAAATTAAACTGTTTGAGGCTCGATAAACAGCATTTATATTTGATCCTAATGGCTCTGAAGCTTTGGCTGCCTAATCTCCTGTTTGTAGACTAGAAAAAACACTTTTAAAAAAATAAACGGAAAGATAGTTAAAAGGAAACATTGGAAACCAGTTGGCTAGAGTAATGGAAGGATGTGGTGCGGAAAACGGTCCCTGTTTGTCACTGAAGAGATGGGGTTTTAAAGTGTAGGGGCGCATGTTTGTTGAACGATCTCTATAATCCATAATTGAGGAGGCAGCAGACTATGACATGCAGGCAATTACACTATTTTTCTCAAGAAAACTTTATTGAAACCGTGCTCCTTTGTTACCATATGGTCTATAGCTGCTTTCCTGAGAGAATTTTAGAGTTTATTAATTACAGCATAAGACTTTATGGTCCTTAGCTTTGAAATAAAGTAGTTACTACCTAATGCTTTGCAGAAAAAGCTGAGCAATCCTTCTTTAAAATTAAATGGGCACTGTAAAATTTTCAATTACTCTATGTGCCTCTAATAAAGAAAATGATGCCAGCTATCCTGCAATAATCTACCAGTTGCAAGAAGCAGCTTCATTTTAAGTTTCAAATGTGGAGAAATACATATGAGAATTGATAAGTTAAGCAGAAAGCATCTCACTGAAATGAACTACAGTATTGTGTCCGCATGGATTAAGCTCAAATGCTTCCTGTTGAAGAGGTGGAGGGTTGAGGGTAAAGATAGAAGAGTTTGCACAATGATGTCATCGGCATGACTTACAAGGCATTAAGGTCCTACAGTCATATGAATTTCTATGATTGTGAATATGTGTATAGTAATATATTTAAGTATATATGACTAGAAAGAATGTATGATACTAAGAAGTGGAACAGAGGCACTAGCAGGAGGAGGGGAGACACTAAGGAGAAGGTGGATGCAGGAGAGATGTACTCATCACAGTGTCGAGCTGCGTTTAGGGGGAAACCTGTGCAACACAGTGTCATAGACAATGAATGCATCGCATCACAGCAAAAAAGTTTAAACTGGGAAAAAATCTAAAGAAAGTGGACAGTGGCTTCTCTCTGGGAAGAGGACAAAGAATCAAGGTGATAATTTAAGAGCAAAGAGGCCTCTTTATCTGTAGTGTTGAGCTCTTAAAAGAGCTGGTTTGCTAATGAAAACGTCTTGCATTTTATTTTCTGTGGGGTGATGTCTGTGCATAGGTGTGCATTCCTGTGCCATGGCTTGATCACAGAAACATACAAGAGCAGGTTCTCTCCTTTCACCGTGTGAACTCTAAGGATCAGTCTCAATAGCAAGAGCTTTTACCTGTCAGGTCATCTTACTGCCCTGACTCCCCCCACAAAGTAATTTTAATTTTGATTTTTAGAGCCATATAGAATAACTAATAATAGACACATAATAATAAAGGCATCTCAAAACAAAAACAGGGGAAAAACCTGAAAGGGAAAGACAGACAGAGAGAGAGAGAGAGAGAGAGAGAGAGAGAGAGAGAGAGGAGAGAGAATGAAAGTAATGGTAAATGTGACTTGAAGACACGGGGATGATTGCTTCTTTATCCTATTTCATTATAATTTTAGAGAACTTCATGGGTTGCTAATAAAAAGATGAGTCACGTTCTTTCTGTCTCAATCAAAAGAGATTAAGGTTTGAAAAAGGTACACGTAAATGAATTACCTGACATTACAAACTAATCCTGTTTTTCTACTGGGCATTAAAGTGAAACAGCACGCAAGTCTGGGCCAAACTTCGTCGTTAAAGTCTCTTTTTCTCATAATAGTAGTACAGCTAATCTTTAAAGACAGTGCACTTTACTCCTCACCTCAAAAAAGAAAGAAAAAAAAAAGGAACCCACCAAGTAGGAAAGTTGAATCTCAAGTGCGTATCTCTGTTTCTCTGCACAGAAATTGCTGTCGTGAGTCACCGTGTTGATGCGCTAATGCCATGCCTTTCACCCTGACCTCAGTTGTTTTGAAATGCGCACTGTGGTTTCGCATGGTCTTATAACGCCGCGTGCAGCTCAGTTGCCCTTCTTATTAAATATGTTCGTATTGATGTGATCAAGAGCAGGGCTTCCCAAAACGTTCTCTAGAAAGACGAGGCATTGTGAGCCGAGCTGTTAATTCAGCACTGATAAGGGAGATTTGTGTTCTTGCCTCTGCTTCCACTTGGTTTTGTTCCATTAGGTTGGCTTGGTAGGTTTGGGTTCTTTGAAACCCAAAGGTTTCAGAATGTGGCCCGTGCTGGCCTCCAGCCTCTTCTGCCTCAGTCTCTCCCCTGCTGAGATCGCACACCCTCATCACTGCGCCTAGTCTGCTGTTGTCCGCATTGCCTTTCTTTCCCTGGGACTCTTTAACCAAGAGTAGCCATGCTGCTTTCTTTAGCTATCGAGACGCATCCAGGAGATGACGGCGGTGTGTATGGCCATGGCGACCATGAGGCCGCAGAGTCCAAGACCACGTTCTCAGCCTGGTAAGCCCCCTGATGAAGGGCTGTGCTTCTCCTTGTAATGGCGCTCTTTCTTTTTCAGTTCAATCTCACCATTTAGTATCGAGAGCACAAGACGCCAGAGACGATCAGAATCCCCGGACTCCAGGAAACGGCGCATTCACAGATGTGACTTTGAAGGATGCAACAAAGTATACACAAAAAGTTCTCACCTGAAGGCACACCGGAGAACACACACAGGTACAGCTCCTGTGGGCTTCTCAGTGGGGGTCAGGGGGAGTGAGGAATGACAACTCACCCGGTCATTAGTCGGTGACTGACATATTTTGAATTTAGTTCATTCCTTCTGTCTTGTGTACACGTCTTAAATGCTGTGAACAGAATGAGCTAATCATCTTTCTGGTGATCAACTTAGCCACATAATAATTATGTAATTTATTGAGTTTAAAAATATCCACAGCGCACCTCAAACAGCAAGCAGAACAAAATCCTTCCCTTCCTTAGAGCAAACATCTAACCCACCACCATCGTTAGGTCACATACGTTCTGTTTTCAATGTTATTCCTCCTAAGTATCAGAGAAATAAACCTGAGAATTTGCATGCACAAAGCACTGCAGTATTTTTTTAAAACCAGTTAAATCCAGTTTGATTCTCCCTAGAGAATCTTGTTGCATTAGGAGGGGATTTCCAATACTAGCGGGGGGAAAGCAATTGATGCAAGCAATTCGCAGGTTTGCAACAGTTCAGTTATTAATCTTTCCATACACCTGGGTCCACCCGTGTAGAAAGCACTGGTGGTCATTATCAGCCACTGCCCACAGGTCCTGTGTGTGTGTGTGTGTGTGTGTGTGTGTGTGGCCCTCAGCTGGCATCTCCTGGGTGCCTGAGTACCATCAATGGGAGCTGGGAGCTACTGGCAAGACACGGAAGACAGCAGAAGGGACCACCATGACTGTGCCGTCCCTAGACAAGTGACAGGTGATTGGAGTCAGTGGCATGCAAAGAAGCAGATGAGACAGGAAAACAGTCATAGGCTTTGCTGCTGACACAGGTCACGACCAAGCAAGTCCTGCCTAGTGTCTATCGCTGGCATAGAGCAGACGCCGCCGGCATGGTTCTTTCACAGGAAATTTCAAATGGAACAGATTCCTGTGTGGTTGTGTAAACGTGTTCTCCATCGTATCAAGATAACCATGCAGGCAACCACTTCCCAGGTGAAGTAGTAAAATCATCGAAACTGGCCATCTTTGCATTTTCTTTAACCCATGGTGCTACATCTGTTTGCAAAGACACGAACCAGAGGCTTTAATCGTGCGTGCTGTCTACAGGGGCTGGCAATGGCTGTAAGCCTATGGATCTAAGCAGAGTTTCATCACTCCACTATTGCACGCATGAACGTATCTTGTCATGCTGGGTGTAGCTGAGGCTCACAGGGTTTACAACTGAGTAAAACTGTTGATGACTCACGCTGCCCCATCAGCCAGTACTGCATTTTCCAGTACTATGACAACTAGCCAATAGGAAGCAAGCTTCCTGGTCTGTACTAACTAGGTTTCTCCATACCCTGTGACCAAAGTCTGTGATGACTTTAGCAATGGGGTCTTACCACCAAGCGCTGGTGGGTATCCAAAGACAATGACAAAAGCTTGTATTGTTTTTTTTGGGGGGGTCTCTGGGACACCCCTGATCAACTCAGGGAGAAATGTCCCTCCCATACCTGGCACTGGGCTTTATATTTGGCAGACTGTGACTTGAGAGAAAAGTATCATCTTTGTATGGAGAGCAACCCCAATTAAACAGGGAGGCAGCCGAGGAAATGGTAATTGCTTATGCTTTTGTACCGGTATTTTGGAACCTACTGACCGGTACCCATTGCTTGGAACTGGAGTTTTTGCTAGTCTACGGTTTCTGATCATCTGTCCTACACTTCACCTCTGGTCGCAACCCCCTCCCCTTTCTAATTAACTCCTCCATGCTCTCTCCTATTCTTCAATTGCGAACTCCCCCGTGAGACGTTTCCACCTGTTTCTCAGGCACTACTTTTACTTCTGTGGTTCGCTTATTTACTTCCTGCAGTTCTGGGAACCGAACCCACAGCATCACACATGCTGCCAAGGGATGGACCACTGAGCTCCACCCTCAGCCCACTGAACACCCTCAGCCCACTGAACTGTTTTTAAATCACCTTCAGATGAAAAATAGAAATGTGGTTAGCAGCAAGTGTGATGGGACTGTGTCACTGATTGTTGTGGGGCAGTTTGGGGCAGTTTCTACACACACACACACACGCACACACACACACACACACACACACGCACGCACGCACGCACACATGCACAAATTGCCCTCAGTGGATCATCACATATGTTAGGCTACTCCTATTTTCCTTGAGTTTTCTGGAACATATATTCGCCTCATTTCCACATAGACACCCCTACCAGATCTGCTTGTCGAGTGATACACAGTGAAAGGGGGGAGGGTATTTTAATCACACGTGATTAAAGGACTTATTTCCCCAGCACTGCTGGATTTCATCTTAGAAGTTTTGGTGCATACCAAGTGAGGAGAAGCGATGTCATGTATTCACCCCAATTCAAAGCAACGTAAACCTTGAATGCTGAAGCTGGATTAATGAGCTTGACTTATTAAAAAGATGACCTCATAGACTTTGAAGGTCACAGTGGCCTTTCACGTAACTACATAATTAGAGGGAGCCCTTGCCTGTCACCTCTCACAGGAGCAAGTCGCCACTCTGCTGTTTCTGCACACTTGCGCGTCTTGTGTCTTGCTCAGACTGCGTGGTGACCTGGTAGCTGCAGCTGTTGAGATCTTTCCCACACAGACACGGCTGCCCCAACGCTAGGTCTCCCCGCTCTCCCTCTAAATGTGCACTAGCGGCTTATTTGCCTGCAAGACATTTTGTGGAATTTGAAGACAGAGGCCTGTTCTTTGTCAGTGTGCATCCATCTCTTATGGTGCAGTTGGGGGCACCCAGATGGGTGACCACGCATCGAGTGACCACGCATTTTGCTGTCCCCGACCGGCTCTAATGGCGTTCTCGACTCTACTGTGAGCCACAGCATCCTTCTGATCTCCAGCTCGGATACTCCCCATTTTGTCAGCCATACCTTGTCACATTGACTTAAGGACACATTGTGGTCCTTATGTGTTGAGGGAGGAGACCTTCTTTATGAACGCCTCTGAATGTGAACAATTTGCACTAAAGCTTTCTGGGAGTTGACTCCGTAGGGCCACCTCGATCAAGGAGTGCTGCCTACTAGGTCTAGTGTATCTGCTGCAGTAGAAACGGAGGTCTTTCTGCTTGACTTGGATGCTGGAGCCATCCCTGAAATGACTTCCCTGGGAACAACATCTGGAGACAAAGGACAACTTGCTAGAATATTGTCGGGTGTGGAGTTTATCTATAGTTTTTTCCCCACCTAGAAAGCAAGTATTATAGGTCCCCATAGTGACTTGATTGTAACGTGTTGAATTCAATACGCTAGAAAGATCTGAATGGTCCCTCCCACCTCTCTCCTGCAGTGTCTCCATCTTTGCCAGCTAATTGTGGGCAGATTGAACATGACAAATGCAAAGAAAATACCCCCATATGGCAGGCTGTCACGTCTTTTAAACAGCTAACTATGCTGCCTCTAGCCTGCATCAAAATATCCCTGCTAGATTTCTGCTCAAACCCCCCAATGTATCAAATCCGTTCACTCACTGAGCGCAGAATTACTTAGAGCAGCCCTCTGTATCCAAAGGGTCTGCTTCTGTGCCTTCAACTAGAACTGGACTGTGCTCGACTTCTGTGGGCTTCTCTTGCCTGTGCTCCCTCAGCAGTGTGTCTTAACAGCTGTGGGAAGTATTTGCATTGTATCGGGTACCTTAAGTAACGAGATCTTATCGGAAGGATACAAGAAGATGCGTGGAGGTTGCATGCAAATGTCTCACTGGTTTCTGTCTTAAGCCTTGAACATGAGTTTTGCTATCCAAAGGGGCTGGGGATGAGGCGAGAACCAGTTCCCTGGTATTAAAGGGACCACTCTAGTCTGTGCACTCATAGTCTCTTGAACCGACAGTTAAAAGTGGCATTATTGTCCAATAGAGAGAAAGAATCAAATTTGGTGAACTTGTTGAAACTGGTGTCAAGTGATCCCAGGCTAGCTTATAATTTATAATTATACACAAGATTTCACAACTTGGTGAGTAAAATGTAATCAACACTGGTTCTATAGAAATTCGGGCTGGCTTGCATGCTTTTAATAAACATCTTCTTAGCCTTACCTTTGCTTCAGGCATGTTGAGTAAGATCCTTATGTGTGACCAATAATACTTAATGTGGAGTTTGGGATTATAACAGATGACTTATGAAATCCAAGCACGCTATGGGAGGGGACCGTGCTGCAGTGAGAAACTTTCTTTAAGGAAGTCACAGTCATTTTCCTGTGAATACTTTAACTTTCTGCAGTTTGTTAGTGCCTGATCAGTTGTGTGTGTCCTTAAATTTAATTAATTAAATTTCCTTAAATTAAAGATGTAAACATTTGTAGGGATGCAATAAAAGGCCCTTTCGAGATATTAGCAATAAACACATGGTTAAAGAAGTGTTTGGAGGAGAGCATTTAAATTTAAAAGTAGCTTGTTATTGTGCAGCTTAGGTACTAACAGGGATGTTAGCAAGTATTTGGAAATGGTGTAGCGACCCCTGCGGAGGCCACATTGTTAAAGAAGCATCACAAAGAGCAACTGTAGCTCAAGGGTCACACTTTCTCCAGCAGGCCTGTTGTTCATATCCTCTCCTCTGCATTGGGTATTTCTCCCACTCAGTGAGGTATACAGTATATTTAAATGAAAATGCAGAAGATTTAAATTAATGGAAATTTTCTTCATTTAAAGATAGTATATGGTATATTAAATTATCTAAGCATGCAGTTTTTAAAAGAAAATACGGTATAATCTAGAATGCTCACATATTGGTTAAAACAGTGTTTCTCAAGATCCTTTGGAGGGTCAAATGAACCCTTCACAGGGGTTGCCTAATACCATCAGAAAACACATATTTACATTTTGATTGAAGACAGTGCCAAAACTACGCTTTTTATGGTTGGAGGTCACTATAACACGGGGAACTGTTTTAAACGGTCGCAGCCTTTAAAGGAAGGTTGAGAGCCACTGGAAGCTTAAATGCTCTAATAACTTCTACGGTGTTGGTTTTAACACACAGGTGTCAGTAATT